GCAGCACAGGTTCAGATGGGGATGAAGACTTTAATGAGACCTGTGACAAAACTACGGGACAACAAAAGGATGAGGACAGTGGCTTTTCATTCAGCCTCGACCTGGGTCCTTCGATCCTTGACGATGTCCTTCAGGTGATGGACAAACTGCACAAATAAACCAGAGATTAGCCAAATGTCTCGGAGAGGCTTTACTAAAGGTTTGGAATATAGAGAGCAATAAGGGCCTCATCTTGTCCAGAATCCTGATCGGAGACGAAATCATCACATTTGGATATTGTTTTGTTCATTATGTTCGGATAAATCTAAAGATATCTGCTTTTTTGGAATGCAGAATCTCAAACAATGAATAATAAACCACAGATGAACACTGTACACTTTGTAAAGGCACAGGATATGCTCCTAGAGCACTGTGATCCACAGCGTTTACTAAAAAGTATGCGTGATTCTGTTTGAAAAGGGGGCGCATAAACAAAGTTAATGTTCTCCAAGCAATCACCCTTTGCAGAGGCAGATCCAGTGTTTAAGTTAATAATTAAACTTTGTCTCATGTTAAACTAAGAGCTTGACATTTTCAACCTTTTCACATTTCCCCTTAGCTATTTTAATTCTTCAAACCACACATCACGGCACTGACGACGGCTGTTAAGACTTAAGATTGTTGTGTTTAAGAAAAGAAACGCAACGACTGGAATCCAAGGTCCTTGGAGCTGCGATGCCTTGGCGTGCTTGCCAATCTGTTGTGTGCAGAGGGCAAATTTTACTCCGCACGCATCTGAGAGGCCCCACTCAATGGTAGACCAAGGTACCCCCCATCTCTCATTCCCAACAAGGCAGTGAAAACAAACACTTAGTCCTGCTTCCAATAAAAGCCAGCCAGTGGTGGCAGTTTGGGCTACCGACCAAGCCAGGCCACAGGTCCAAGACCTCAGAAGAAAAATGAAAAAAAAAAGAAGCCAAAGCAGGCTGTTTTCTTAGCTGCAAATCAGCGTTCAATGCTCTGGTGAGCAGTGCACGAGAAGAAAAGTGGTAAAGGGTAACTTGATACTTCCACATATGCAGGGGGTGTTGAGGGAGAAGGAGGACCAGAAACATCATTACTGTAGCAAAAGTTCTGATGAGGCTTTAAACACTACCTTCTACCCAAATACACCCAACACGCAAAAATGCATGCTGTATCTCACACACTGGCACACGAGCAAAGGGAAGCACACGTGAAACACGCGTGAAACACTCGTCCATACGTTTTCCTCAAACCTACAGAGGAGACGTCGAGACGAGCCTCACTCCGGCTTTGTTGGGGAGTTATCGGGATGGGATGTGGCACAAAACCCAGAAGAAGTCAAATTCCTAAGAGCGCCACGGGTCATGGTACAAAATCTAGAAACCAAAATAAGTTCTTCAAGCAATAAATTTTGAATTCTATGCAAACAGTCCAAAACAGAAACAGCACTGTTTGTGGGAACATTTATATATCCGTTTCTTGTAGACTTCTGCCAATAACACATTGTGAATGTTTTTTTCCTTCTGAAGAAAAAATAGTTTTTATGTATTTTTTGTGCAAAGCAAATAAAAACATCAAATACTCGTATGATGAGATTGCTTTTTTCTTTATTTTACACATTGTTTTATGTGTTTGTATCATTTTTTCTAGAGAAACTACAGCTTATATAGGACTCCGCAACACAATAATATTATGTAGAGGTGGCCAAAATTAGACACGCACGGCAGAATTTCATGCACAGTAGAGGCATGAATGCTGCACTGGAGTAAAGTGGACTTTGAAGCACAGCTAAAGCACAAAGAGGTGGCTATCAATAGCTAACCAGAGTCCGTTAGTAAACTTCAGGATAAGCAGGAGAATGAGCTATTCACTGACAGAGATTTACACTGTGTTGACTGTGTTGCCCTGCTCGATGCAATAACTCCCTAAGCAATCAAAACCTTATCTATTCACAAGAGAAAGAAGAATTGTGCAATATCAGAGAAATCAGAAATAATACTTGGCATCTTATTTTTCCTGCATGCATGTGTCCTTGGTTTTCTATCAGTCTGTCATCTGTGTGAAAGTCCTGTGAAGGACACAACTTGAGCAAATGTTCAGCCACATGGCTAATGCGAGATGAAAGAGTCTGTGATGGAAGACAAATTATCTTGTCTGCTCTGCAAAAAAACTGGCCAAACTGTGAAGTATCCCAATCACATCTGGCATCACTTCCCTCCGTTTTAAAATCTAAACTTGCTGTCATGCAGAATACAAAAAAAAAATCTTGTCATTCCTCTAAAGCAGCTCGTACGAGCTGTGTTTTTTGTCGGCTACCAACTTAAACATTAAAAATACTGTATTGGCAAATAGGACAAGAGTGCTGCGCCTGTAATTGTGCTTCCCAGTGAAATCTAATGCTACATGTCTTTGTTTTGGTCTGGTTTGTTTTTTTGTATTTACACATGAAAGGGGATTTCATAAAACCAACAGTTTTTTTTGTTTATGCTGTCGGTATCGTGTATCAAGACAGAAAATATTATCAAGCTGCAAAGAGGATCAAGCAAATTGAAAACAGCTCTTCCCTCTCATGATATGCATGATGAGCTAAATGCATTTAGGCATAGATTTCTATGTATTCTAAACCAGCACATCTTTTTTTAAAACATCTCCCATCCTCCGTTTCATGAGTGGCCAATCATCCTTCAGTCTCATGTATTTTCACTGCTCGTTTCCTTTTTACTTTTGCTACTAACAAAAATGTGAAATAGAACAAAACCAAAGAAAAAAAAAAAGAAATATTCAGCTTTTAAGTCTGGTCATTGCAATAAACAGAAAGCTGTTCCTAAACAGCTATCATCTCCATTAAGAGCAGGTTTCAGGCCAGCACTGAATATGCCAACAGCAAGGCCACATCCAATGCATCTCTTCCAGACACAAGGACTATTTTAGGTGATAACGCACTTTTAAAGCACTAGCAAACCAGCAGGCTGGAAAAACAATCCCAGAATAGCTGATCTACTGCATCTGGTTTATGCCGTGACAACCCTGCAATGATTCCCTGGCTCTTGATGGAAGAAGCAGGCATAGAAGGCTCAAATTTAAAACCCTTACAATAGAATCGTTTTAAATAATACGGTATGCTAAACTGAGCAATAAACCATGAATCAAGACACAATGATTAATGATGGCATCATATCTCTGGAGGCATGAACGTCAGGTCTGGCAAAAACAAAGCAGACAGATAGATGGGGATTCCACATCCGAGAGTTTGTTAAGATAAACTATCCATGTGAAATCCCTTTTTCAGATGCAACTATTTGCCGCTCTCGGATAGGACTGCACTGAAATGTTTAGCAATGGATAATAGGTTCTTTTAGCATTCACTGAGATTTTGAACCATGTACTAAAAGAAACATTTGGACTTCTGGGAAAATTTAAAGGTTCGTTTTCTCGACCTCTCCATTTTTCAGCCTGTCACTACGACGTATTTGTCATATCAGTAATGTTAACGGGTACACACGCAAAAGTGGACGATCAGGAAAAGAAACTGGATTCTTTTCCCAAATGAAGGGTCTGAATTTAGCCAAGAGCGTGGGGAGCAATTCCACATGGTGCGAAAGACACGGCCCTCCCCTATTTTGAAATTAATATCCATGGTGAGAAAAACTGGGTGAATGCAGTAGGTCCAGTTATAAATCATGTCATATCTACAACAAAAACAGAGCCAAAAGATCAACACTCCTCTCTGTGAGAGAAGTTAAAAATTTAACACACCATGAGATAGATCAAAGTCTCTGTACCCTGAGGGGGTCTTCTTGGGGAATTTGCCCCTCCCTTTACTCCATTAGGCTCCTCATACTGGCCTCAAATTCATTTATTAAGCCCAGCAGAGATGGAACTAAAGTTAAGGGTGAAGTCATCCGTGTATCTGAGCTCCCTGTGGCGAGACGCTGACTCTGTGAGCTGTGTTTAGATTGATGAGGTTAAAGAACCAAGTCCTCACTTTGCTCATATGTGATTGCAGCTGGATAATGTTGGGACACTATGAAGGGGTCGGCTACAGGAGAGGGATCAGATTTGTAGATCCCAGATAAGAATCTGAAAAGAACATTCACATCCACTGACCCGTGGATAGGTGTGGATCAACACCGCTAATATCTGCCATGGTTTATCTATTATGTCATGTTGGACCTCTTTAGCAAGAAGTATTCTCAGTGAAGGCTAATTTGAAAATAATTCTAGCATAGTAATGTTTCCAGTCAGAGTTACAGAAGAAAAAAGGCTAAAGCAATCATCTTTGAATATCTGCAATGCAAACCGGTTTACCATAATAACATTTAAAGAGATTAGTGTGACAAGTCCCAGTGTGCAGACTCAGTCACAGATACTAACGCTGTGTAGGGGGTCGTAGACCCCACACTAGCATGAGAGGTGAAACCCAGTTCAGCAGTTTTATGTAGCAAACTGTGGTCCATAGGTGGTTAATTCTTCAAATTAAAAAAAAAATGTTATATTAAGATGATCAGAAGGTTTTTGACTTAATGAAAAAGGCCAAAATCTAAAAGTAATTAATAAGAAGAAGAAAAAATGTAATCACTTGGCACCAAAATATCCATTTTTACTTTCTCACGTGCCAGACTACCATTATTGCATACTGCTACACGAAATGCAGCAATCCTGGGGTCTGCCAGGACATTTCCATTAATGATCAGCCAACGAGGGGCTCTGGGCCAGTGCCGGGCCAGCACCTCACCACAAATAAACCGAGGACCATTTAACCAAACACATTGTTCTAGGTCAGACGAATGGGAGTGCAAGCACCGGGGAAATATCTGCACCACTGATACGAAAATAAAAGCTCTGAACGTTTACATACCTCTCTTTGTGGGGCAGTGTTTAGGCAAGAGTATTTGTGCTGGAAGCAATGTAGCCGGAGGATTTTATAACATGGGGCTGACACGCTTTATGAGAGAGGAGGGGAATTACAACAGCGCATTTTAATGTTATACCGGTACCTGTGAAGGCATGAACTGCCCAGAATGAGAAGCTGCGGCAAAAACCTCAGGCTGTCCTTCAAGCCAGGAAATCTTCAGGGGATTTGCAGCTACGCCACTTTCATTCTTTACAGCCAGCTCCTAAAAAAAACAAAAAACAAAATGTGAGAGTGGGTATTCAAATGAGTCATCTACCAGTATTATTAAGGCGAAAACACTTTCTCCTTGTACAGAGTGGGACCTAGGTATTTGTTCAGTCCACATAACACCTAAATAAAGGTGGGCCAACACCGGAGCTGGGGCATGAAGATGGGCAGGGTGAGACAACAGAACCTGTACCTAGATCCCAGTAGACTGGCAGGCATATTTTCTGCAGGCGAAACACATGTTGCGGTAAGGAAACCACAACAACAAAAAAAGTACATCATGATGACAAAGAGCCTGAGGAACCAGACAGTGGGGAACAATAAGACGGCTCAGTTCCGTCCGTCCAATGGTTTCCATCAGCATCGGGACTTCTGCGGTACAGAATGACTAAAATATCAGTTTCACTCACACAGACCGTCCCCAGGCACGGAAGTCTATGACAGCTATCACTCTGAGTAATAATCAAACTCATCGGGTGACCTGGAATTTTGAGGCAAATGAATGTTGAAGAAAACGGTTTCTGAGGTTTTTATTCAGGAGTTAAGGTACTTACAGCAGCTCTCACAGTTGCAAATTCTGCAACAGCACTTCCTTTCTTCTTACTCGACATGATCACATTCAAAACATCGCCATACTAGAAGTAAAAAAAAAAAAAATGGGGGGGGGACAAAGTCATATTGAGGTAGAGGAATGATTGTGAACATTCAAATTAATATTGCTTTTCACAGCACAATCCATAACCATAAAAAACCACACACAGGCACAAAACTTCAAAACACTGGTGAATATAAAAGACTTCCTGAGAAGTTAGCGTTCAATATGTGTTTGTTATTAGACCTCGTGATATTGTTCGTATGTTTGAGCCTGAGCCAGTTATTCTTTGAACAGTAACAACATCAACATGTTTCATATCCAACTGCACTGATTTCTGTTGTTGAGCTCATTTGATCCCAAAAGAGTGCAAAAGTTGGCCTAAAAGTGCAGCAAAGCAAAGACCAACCTCTTTAAGAAAGACACGGTGAGAAAAGAAGGGGGAGACTATAAACACAATGGAGGAGCACAAAGGGCTTTTTAAATTCCTCGTAGCTCAGGTGGATCAAGTAAAAAAAACTCAATGCCATTTACTTCTTCCTAACTAAAGTGAGGCTTGGGAACAGAGAGTACAAGGAAAGAGGCCTTTAAGAATCTCATTCTGAAAAAATGTAGCTTTCTGGGAACGGGAAAGTCCAAGAATGCTAATGCTTACTAAGGACACTCTGAAGCAAGCCAACAGTGACAAAGGAGACTCTCCAAAGGCCTCTGTTTCATGAAATATAAATATCGTAACATATTTTTGAAACAAAGATGTATTACTTCAACCAGCCAAAGTACACAAGTCCATACACGCCCACATGCACGTATACACACAATCAAACTCGTTCCCACACAGCAGTGGCTATTTCTACTTGCCCAAACCATTAACTGTCACTCATTGGAGCTTGCCATCTTAAACAGGATTTTCTTAGAATATATTCCCTTTGCTCAAGCATTTAAAAGAAGCAACACTTTTTTCCAGAGGTTTTTTTTTTTTACTCCCTCCTGCTTGGGAGCATATTGACTGCATGCGTGCAGAAGAGAAATTGAAATGCCTTTTTCCAGCCAGCTTGACGTCACTGACACTTGCCCTATCCTCATTTCAGGCCAACCTATGCCACGCCAAAAGCCCCTGTGACGGATCACAGCATAAGGTGGTACTAGGTTGCATGAGAAGAGCACATTTCCTAATGCCTCCCTCGGCACTGCTTAATCACTTGGTGAGAGGGGCACAAACAATGGTGTGCATGGCTTTAAAAGGGCACTACAACATTGCCCTCAGCACTTTCACTGCAACAAAACTTAATGGGCCTTATTTAAGGGGAGGAACAAAACAATCTACAACAGTGATGTCATGCAAACCTCAAATAAGGCTGGACTCTGCAGGTAGGTTTTTTACCATGCAATCAAATGCATATATACATATACACATTATATATATACACAATATATATATATATATATATATATATATATATATATATATATATATATACACACATTATATATATACACATTATATATTATACATTATATTATATATATATATATATACACACATTATATATATATATATATATATATACATACTGCACAGGTGGAGCTTGTTAATGATCTGGAGGCAGTTGGGACCACAAATCACCAAGAACATTTTTGTTATAACACTACATCACAATGAACTGTAATCTCGAAGTGTCAACAAGGTCCTTGTGCTAATGAAGGCACACGTATAGGTCTGTTGCAAGTTTGCCAGTGAAGATCTAAAAGATTCAGAGAAGGTTTGGGAGAAAGCTCTTTGGCATCAGCTCACCCTGCCGTGTTTGGAGGCAAAGTGATGCTGAGTATGACCCAAAGAACGCCATCCCCACAGTCAAGCACAGAGGTAGAAAAATGCTGTGGGGCTGGTTTTTTTTGTGTTTTCATCACATTGAGAGGACAATGGACATGTACCACAAAATCCCAGATGAGAACCTCCTTCTCTCAGCCAGAACAGTTAACATGAGTCAAGGATGGGTCTTCCAGCACGACAGTGACCCAAAACACATCACCAAGGTAACAAAGGAGTAACTAAAGAAGAAGACCATTATGATTATGGAGTAGCCTAGCCAGTCTCCAGACCTCAATCCTATAGAAAATCTGTTCCAATCTCTTCATGTGTTTGGTCTTCTTCACACACAAAGCTAGGACATCTTACTATTGATCACTGATTGAAGAAAATAAGAACGATTTGGTTCGTCTTCAGCATGTAGCCAGGCTCTGTTGAACCAAACATTCCTTTAACCTTAACTACTAATGACTTCATAAGTTTCATTACAAGTAATTCTGTAATCATTTGAGAAAAAAATATTGATAAGAAAAACATCACATATAGATATTTATAATACTATTTATATTACTGTACGGTCTTTACCTAATATAAAATGACTTGAGGTGACTGCTATTGTGATTTGGTGCCGTATAAATAAAACTGAATTGAATTATTGACTTCAAGAAACATCTTACCATTGTGCTTTCCTACAAGGCTTTCTCCATCAAGTACCAACTTAAGTTTTTCTTGGGGATCAATTTATAACTTGTGACTTATGTGATGTATTTTTTTTCTGGATTTAGAGGCATTTCTTTGGAAGTGAGCAAACCTAAAAATTCAGCAGTGTATTTTTTCCCCAGGAAATTTAATTTGCAGACCCTTTAGAGAGGAAAATGATTGCATTTGGCTAACCTAGTCAAATAAATACCTCATAAATTCATGGGAATTTTTGCATTCAATTAACACTCATTTGTAATACAAAAAGAGTCGTTATTTAAGGCAATACTGTATAATGCCAAACCTAAATTATTTTATTGTGTTGTAATCTTTTTTAAATAGTTCTAAAAGCAACTGTTTTGCAGTATAAATCAATAACTTTGCAGCACTGTGGCATTACTTATTCTCTTTTCAGGACGCATACCTTTTGTAGAAGTTTAAACAGAATGTCATGAGAGTAGCCTCCATTTGTCTCATCATCTTTTTTACACTTCCACTTCAACTGGAGGAGAGAAAGAGAGAGGAAAGGCTAATATTAGTCAAGAAAGTTTTCATGAGCTAAAGAAGTGCATGATAATGTCTAATCATTAGAACACATTGATTAAAGTCAGCTGACAAAGAGGCCAAGCCTGCCAGGCGGGCTCGCCTCTGATGAGACACAGATTACAAAAACCATCAGCACACGCTGGAGCTACGAGAAAAAGACATTATTAAGCTCTTGGAACATCACCATGGCACCACCTGCAAGACCTGCAGTCAATTTCCATTCATACCGAAAGCACCAGATAAATGAGTGAAATTCAAAACATGGACACCTGGACCACAGAAAATGTGGTGACTCACTTGCTTTAACTATCATAAATTAATCAAGAAATAATCCAAAGCAGTTCAATGTCTAAGAACGTGTTTGGTCACAGGCAAAAGAGAGGAAGTCCTCCTCTACTATGTGAACTGTGGTCAACTTCTTTGCTTACATAACAATGTTAGTGTGTCTTTAGTTTAAAAAGAAATTGAAAAACATATGAACCCCGTTTGGAGTTCTGTCACTAAAAGCTCATGCGAGTTCCTGCACTCCTAAAAAACAAGACAGATATTGTGTAACTTCTCATATGCATGTACAAAGAACAGGGAAATGAGGCAAATATCACAGCAACTGCTCAGAGTAGTATTATAAATGGCAAGCGCTAACTGTTGATTCAGCTCCAGCATTCTGCTCACTGTCAGAGCAGCAGGATTTCTGGGAACTTCCAAGTGCAAATGGAGTCTTTTTACCAGCAATCACGGCTGAAAATGTCCATCTAAGAGCATTCTCTTCTCCCCACCGATAACCTCCTTACCCGGTAATCGTCAAATAAAATGCTAAGGTATTTCTATGATGTGATGTCTGTGATTTCAGCCTGCAACACAGGAACACTGCTGCGTTTGCTCAAAATTTAGATCTATTCTTCAAAAAGCGAGTCATCAACACAGCTGATAATTATGCTAAGGTCATAGAGAACTTTCTAAAATCAAATTAAACTTTATAGTGAAAAGCAATGGGCAGTTTGAATATAGAAAAAATGGCTGTGGTTAACTGTCTAAAGATTATATTCCATGTTATGCTTTTAAGACGTTCAGATGCAGGTATCTGATGTGGGAAGCCAATAAATTATTAATAAGAAAATATTTTTGATTGCACGCAGGGCTGCAATCTGAGATAGAAGCAGAGCCTCTGAGATAAATCTTGCAGTAAACGTGTCCCTGTCCATGCAACATGATTTGTGATGCTGTCAGTCTGGCCGCTGTTTGTTTTTTCTAGCTGAACACACAAACGTCAGGGAATACGCTGCGGCACTAGATGGCTATCAAATTTTAAAACCAGATTTACTGTCTAAACACATTAGCTAACATCCCATGTTAATACATGCAGACTCTGCTGTTTCCAGGAGGAAATATAATAAGACTTCTCTTAGTTTAGATACTGGTCTCCTGACGACACTGTGCCCTCTCAAGAGGACTGGACTTCAGAATAGCATGTGTGCTCAGTAGTGAGGCAACTTATGTGGTCTCCAATAATGAAACACAAATGGCAAAATGTTTTTATCAAACTCCCCGCTGAGATCCTGCCTGAAATTTCACTCAGATATAGCAGTCGCTCCTCCACGTTACTGAGGGACCTACATTATTCTCTTACTACATATTTCACCCCAACCCTGACCTCTCTTCACATATTCTGAGCCTTACCTTCAATTTTGGGGTTACGTTGCTCTTGGAACATCTCTCCACTCCTGAGTCTGACAAAACGCAACAGAGGGGGGGGGTGAGACAGAGAAGTGAAAAAAACAAAGAAACTATTGTTTTCCTGAAATATTATACGCAAGAGAGCAGTCGAGGGACTAGTGCAGATAGACAGCAATTTTAAAATGGATGTCATGTGTTAAATGTATAGCTCTTGCTGATCCAGGGGAGGGCTGTGTGCGTGCAAATGGAAAAGACGCAGAAGACATGCTGACAATGCATTAGTAATTGTCCGGCCACAAAAGGGGTCTAGTTTAGGGCAGCAGTCAGTTGTTTTCCTAAGTATATACACGCTGCCTTCCTTTTGCTGCAAAAAATATTACCATGAGGTTAAAAGTTTGATGGACCGCTCTGTGTACGCAGTGATTGGCATCCCTTTGCTATCTTGCCAAGAAACTAAAACAGACCTCTTCCAATATAATTTCAGTTATTGTTATAGTCTATCGTGTGAATAATACATGGTGAGCCACAGGGAGCCTGGTGGCTGCTGTGGTTGTGCTGACACGACGAGGGATGGGAAACACAGGGGGTTCACCCCAGCAAGGCTTTGGGATGATATAAAAATGTCAGGACTACAATAAACTGGTTTAGCTAACTCAGACCAGCAAGGATTGGTCAAATGCATGTACTTCTCTGAGTGTGGTCTCCTCCGTGTTGATGTGCTTCTCTTTCTCTCTGGATCTGCTCTCTGATGAGCCTCTGCTCCTCTTCAAGCTGTCTGGATCCCTCCTCCCTCAAGCGGGCAATCTTGGAGAAGGTGCACATAAAATGCAGAAATGTGAATGAACAGGTGGCCAAGTGTTACGTGACAGCACATGTTAAGATAACAGCTGTTGGAATATGATCAGCTTTATTGCTCTGCAATTCTGTGTTTATGTCCTCTACTCAAGGAGGCTATACAAACCAGCTTATTTCATCACTTAAGGCACTAATGCCTCGATGAAGTCAGAAAATGGAATAGTGCCACCTGCTGGTTATGGCCTCCTTCCTTATGTATATGCATGAAGCACCTTGAGCATATGGAAATTACTCACAGTGGAAGCATGCACACCATTTTTATTTATGGGTGTTCTGCACAAACTGCACCGAGTCATGCAATATCACCTTAATGACCTTACTGATAATTATGTCTGTGAAAAAACAAAATAAAGAGAGGAGCTCTTAGACAGAGCCTTTGTTCGTGACCCAAGTATTTGGAAGAGTTCAACTCAATCAGGAAAAACTATTTGATGAAAAACAGAATGAAAGCACCAGGGTGTGCTTTAGTTTCCCTAGATGCATTTTCCAATACAGCACTTATACCTGCAGTATAGTGAAATTTAAAATTTTCTGCAGCCTCTTAAGGCAAATTGCAGCGCAGTATCTTTGCTAATGTGATTTCTATAAAATGCGATACCTCTTCCTCGAGTGTTCTAGTGATCTGCACTTCCTCCTGGCTTTGAGCTTCTGCTTGTCGCTCTCTGGCCTCCAAGTCTGTCAAAACAACACACACAAACTAATCCACATCTCCATCATATACTCATAGTATTGATTGACTGACTTATTATTATTATTCTTTAAAGAGGAAACAGTACTTCAGCATTAAAACTTGATAATTAGAAAGAAACACAAGATAATATCACTAAATAATCTCTGGGATGCGGCAGAAAAATGACTCACCAAGTTTAATTTTCTTTCTCTTGCTATCTAGTTTCTTGTTTCTTTCTTCTGCTTGTTTCTTGGCAGCACAAATCTTGTCATAAGCAGCCTGAAAAAAAAAGCGTTAGACTTCAAGATCACTCCTTGCTGGGCTTGCTGTGTCTCGGTTTACTTGAGGGCTAGGATCCATATTAGAGGTTACAAGACACCAGCGGTCTTACCTTGGCGGCGGCATCAGTTAGCACCTCAAGAGCCTGGGATAACTGGTGGAAGAGCTCAACTAAAAGAAAAAAAAAAAAGACAGAATAAGAGCATTTTCTTGCATTACTGCCTTCAACTTTTATCTTGTGGGATATTACCTATAAAAAAGAAAAACGTGGCTAAAGGTTTACAAAAATTGGGTTGATAATTGTGCCAGTTTGAAACAAAAAAGACAGATCATAAAATTATACTGAAACGGGGAGACTGAGAAGGACAGGACACCTAATCCAAAAGCAGAGTTATGTCTACGAATGCCTCAAGATGATGGGACATGGAGCCGATACAAACTGCGACATTTGTGTCTCAAAATTTGCCGCAGGTCTCACGAAACTTGTTTCCTCCAGTGACACGGCCGTGCATTCCCCTGGCCCAGCCTGCTGCAAATACCACTACACCAGTTGTCATTTAACACACACGCACAGACAAATGTACACTGGGAGACCACAGTCCCCCCAGCTTGTCCTCCAAGCAGCACATTACTGCACGATACTAGCCAGGCTTAATCATTCACTTATGGGAGGCCTAACAGACTGATACTGTTACTCCCTGTGGGGACTGGCATTGCACACTAACAGAAGGCTCTCGAGATCGCGCTGCCAGCAGAGGCGGTCAGGTTACCTACATGCATATAATGGGCTGGAATGAAATCCAACTGGGGGAAACCTGCCATGCCCACCAGGCACCTCCGAGTGTCACAATATGGGGTATTTAGAGGGGAGAGGTGATAGTGGGGAGGGGTATCGTCAATCAGTGAAGAATTGTGACCCCTATGTCACCTCTTACATGCAAACAACCCTCCCCTGAGGGGCAGCAAGTCCCAAGACTTGCTCCGCTCTCGTGCGATAGAGTCCAATTCTCTTCATGCGCGGGTTCGAGTGTTGAGGGCCTCCAAACCACTACTTTTCCATTTCTGGGAAACCGACCCCCTGCTTTTGTGTTATCCCTCTCAACCCTACCAATTTCCTTTTTTTCCTGACATAATCAGAAATTGTCTGAACCATCCAGAAACCACATAAACCTAACTTGAAAACATACCTCATGACCAGCTTCTTGTCCAAGGTGCATTTTTCCCCTATTGACAAAAAGCTATGCTGAGATTTTCTGGTCTAATTGTTGACATGCTGGTTGGCACCAAGCTGCAGAAGGACACATGAACCCAGGGAGGACAGAGTGTGGATGAGGGTGGTGAGGATGGTGATGCTGGCCATGTTTTTCTAGCTAAAAAGCTGGCGGGAGAAACATGCGCTGGTTGCCTTGCGACAGAGTGCTGTGGCCAGGACATCTGGCAGAGTTTAACGCTGTGAGAATGTGACTCTGGAGCATTCATTTTTGGCCCTGGACCTTAATGGCAACTCAGTGAGTGGTCATAACTAACTCCTCAGTGGCAACGGTCAATGCCTCAGAATGGAGACAGAAGACACATGAACCTGGGACACTCAGGGAGGGAAATTTTCTAAGGTTGTACTTCCTCCCACATAGCCCTCAAAAGGAGATGTATTCTCACCACTACACTCACCTGCTCTGAATCTGACAATTACCTGCACTATTACCAAGTGCGCAGCTAGTAAGCCAAGAGATGTGGATCTACACCAGAACTTCTATGCATCCAATCATCTGCATCTTTATATGCATCTCTGTCAGATAAGGTTTGGAGATCATGTGAGAAAACAGTAAATGCAAAACAAAAACTGTCTCACTCACCTGCTTTTGGGTTGTCTGGGTTCTTGTCTGGATGGCATGTTAACGCTTTCTGTCGATACGCTTTCTTGATCTGAAAAAGGAGGAGGGAAAAACCCCAAACATTACAAAGAGTGGAAAATGCTTGTTAGAACGCAGAAAAATGAACAATTCCCTTAACCTTCAGTTCTATTTATATATCCTCAAATCACAACAAGAGTCTCCTCAAGGTGCTTTAGACTTTAAGGTAAAGACCCTAAAAAATAGAGGAAAAACCCTAACAAACAACAAATGAGCAAGCACTGGCAACACTCCCTTTTAGCAGGAAGAAACCTATTACAAAAAGAATAAAACAAAATGTAATGTCCCCCATATGAGGGCTCGGGGTCTTGGGAGGTTAAGCACAAATTTTGGGCACCGTGTAAAGATATAATTCTTACTGTGTATCAATAATTTTATAACGTTGAGTTTGGCCCAGAAGTCTAAGAAGTTATGGCCTCATTGAAATAATGCCAAAGACAGTAACAGCCTGACATAAAAACATCTGAGGTGAAATGTGGTCTTTAATGGAATTGTTTTGTTTGGATCAAACTGAAACTTTAAGCCGATCCTGTGCTTCGTGTCCTTTTGACATGCCGTTAATGGCTTCTAACCACTGTGGTACATACGGCACTGTACAAGAATTCAAAACTATTCTCAGGCTATTCCAGTTGTCAGATTGCAAGATAAATACGAAGTTGCAACCTAGTATTATTCTATCTTTATTTAAACAATATTAGATAGAATATGTCATAAAAAATGAAATCAAGTCTGACATAGTCTGAAAGCAGCATCCTTTGGCAGCTGATTTTTTAACTCTGGGTCACTGCTTGGAACATTAACCATTCATTGGTCCTTCTAGGAATCACTTAATGGAGAGGTGGTTTTTATTAGACGTCTGCTTCTTTTGAGAATGAAGGGAAACAGGAAAATTACCGCAGAGACCAGAGGGGGCTGTGGAGTCCAGCGCTTGAGAATTCTGCACAACCTCAAACGCACATGCTCATATACAGTACATGCATTGCATGCTAAAGTTTTGGCACATCCAACCCTCCCCCCCATACATACACATTAAAGAACAGACCAAACACAAACACTGACATGCACTTTCTCACCAGACATAATCAGTCATGCCAACATTCTGGATGTTTTCAAATTCTCCCTGTTAGCGCAAATCAATCTCCTGCCAGTACGCTTCGGGCCACAAAAACTGGGAGCCCCTTTGTTCATGTCTGGGAAGCGTTTGCATTGGATGCATTGTCTTCTGGCATATGCAGTGTTTCCCTGTAATTTGTTTTGCACAGTTTTATCTCTAGAACGCACGCCAAAACATACTGAGCTGACTTTACGTGGATGGATTGAATTGGGGGGGAGCACAATGGTGTAATTAATCAGCGTCCGGGCTTTTTTAACTGCAGCTCCAATGACAGTTAAGCACAGTCACACATTAGACTGGATGCCCTCCATCCAGGGTGCAAGAGCTTAACCTCTGACTGATTATATGAACCAAGCAAGCCTCCAGTGAAGCCTCTGGAGATAACTGCAGCTCACACAGCTCCTAAATGTCAAAAGTCCTTTCTTCTATCTAAACTGGATTGGGGTTTTTTTTTGGGGGGGGGGTCATTATTGTTCCAACAGTAAATGAGAACTTGGTTCAGTGAGAGGGCTTTTTGAGAGACTAGACATCATTAGAGGATATTTAGTCTTGCTGCTTGGCACACACAGCGTTCCTACAGATTGCGACTGACACGCAGGGCTGTGGACTAGAACCAAACACATATGCTTACTGTTGGCCTTAGCCTGCTTCCCCTGTATTATCCTCGCCTGTCTATTTCTCACATTCTGTTCAATGCACTCCCTATTATACCTTTGTCCAACTCATTTTAAAGTAAGATACAAAAAAGTGAAGACTCGAGTTTCACCTCAAAATTATACTCCTCTTCAACAACAGTTGCCTCAAGCACCATTCTTGTGATTATGCACTATATAAATAAAATTGAACTGAATTGCAAAGGAGTGAACTGCAGCTCCTCTCTGGGATCAAAACACAGCCTAAAAATGGGTCCTACTCTGTCCTTTTTCCCTCTACCACCGTGAGGAGTTGCTTACTGTGGATTTCCACAAAGCGCCAACCAACTTGCTCAAGATGTGCAGACCATGATTGAAAACAAGTCTACATCTTTCTTTCTTTTTTAAATCAGTGTTACATAATCTTCTGATGGTAATGCAGTTTAAGTGGAGACAAAAACAAGCCTGCACTGCATTAATGTCATTTTGACAAAAATTATTGTGCCTTGATGTTCGCTATATCGTACCTTGCAATACTGAAATGTAAAGGTGTGTGAGCTTTTGTTATACCACAGAGAACCAATGCCTAAACTGGAATAGAAACATATGTAATACACACTTTTTTGGAAGTATCAATCATGTCTGGAGCTGTTAGTAAACTGTAAAATAGGAACTTGAGGTAATCAGAGCTGTGCAATGTGCTTTCAAAATAGCATCAGTCTGTATTTGGAATAGAAAACACAATATAAATCATTTTTGAACATTTGAAATGTTAGCAGCCAAGATATGGAAGAGCTATGCCTTCCTTTAGCTTATGCCACTGTTGTAGCTCCATATATAGTTAAGAGCTCTTTTTCATTTAATATAAATGAAATGATATCTTTTTAAAAACAGATTTAGGAAGATGAAATGAGAGTGTGATCATTTTCTTGTAAAATCCCCCATAATTTAAGTTCAGTTAGCTAACATCTGGACCATGTGCCTTACCACTTTGCATTATCATTAATACATAATGATTTCTTTCTGTTGTAACAGGAGTTCAATCTTAAATTTTGTAGTGCATAAAGGACAGAGCACTGAGCACCGGCTGCAATTTTTTAATGAGCTAATGTTTTTGAACTTTTGGCATTTCTTATATTTAGATTAATCGGATTACAGCTTTCAGGACTTCCCTGAAGCAGTGAGGCAAAAATATTATTTTTCTAATGGGTTTTATAAAGTTGTTAATTGCTAAAAATTAACTAAATAAAATGAAAAGAACATGATCCAATTCAAGTGCAGTTAAATATTCAACTATTGTCAATTCCCTTTTTTATTAATAAAGAAGAAAACTACCTTACAATCCCAGCTTTAAAAAAGTTAGGATTCTACAATGTAAATAAAAAATGGAATGCAATGATTTGCAAATCTCATAACCCCATATTTTATTCACAGAAGAACGTAGAAAACAAAGTCAGATGTTTAAACTGAAACATTTTAAATATTCTCTGAATAATATTAGTTCATTTTGTATTTGATTACAGCAACACATCTCAAAAAAAAATGGGGACGGAGCAACAAAAAGCCGGAAAAAGCAAGTTTCTCAAGAGTAAAGATGGGCAGGGCTTCACCAATGTGCAAAAAATTATCTAGATTTTGTGGAACAGTTTCACAGTAATACTTGTTATTATAAAATTACTACAACTTTGAATGTCTCGTCATCTACAGTACCTAATATCATCAAAATATTTCGAGAGTCTGGAGAAATCGCTGTGGAAAATCATTATTGGATGCCTGTGATCTTCGGGCCCTCGGGCACCAGTGCATTAAAAACAGACATGATTCCGTCATGGATCTTACACCATGGGCTCAGGAACACTTCCAGAAATCACTGTCTATGAACACAATTTGCTGTTGCATCCAAAAATGCAGATTAAAAATCCTGCAAAGAAGAAGCCATATTTGAACATGATCCAGAAACACTTCTTTCTTCTCTGGGCCAAAGGTCATTTAAAATGGTCAGAGGCAAAGTGGAAAACTGTTCTGTGGTTTAACAAGTTGGAATATAAAATTATGTGTGGAAAACATTGCTCCCATGACTTCCACACTAAGAAGGAGAAGGTCAGGCGTGTTATCAGCATTCAGTTTAAAAGCCTGCAGATCTGATGGTATGGGGGTGCCTAATGAATTGGCAGTCTAAACACCTGGAAAGGCACCATTAATGCTGAGATTCAAAGCAACATATGCTCCCATCCAGAGGACATCGGGACAGACGTTACATATTTCAGCAAGATGATGCCAAACCGCATACTGCATCAATTCCAACAGCATGACTACATAATGGCAGAGTCTGGGTGCTGACCAGGCCTGCCTTTCACTGATTGAAAACATTCAGCGAATCATGAAGCAAAAAACACAACAAAGAAGACCTAGAATAATCAGGCAGCTACAATCTTATATCAGACAGGACATCGTTCCTTTTCCAAAAGTCCAGCAGCTGCTCTCCTCACTTCCCAGATGTTTACAGACTGTTGTTAAAAGAAGAGAGGATGCTACACAGCAGTAAACATGAACACGTCCCAGCTTTTTTGAGACGTTTATTTGTTTATGTGATTTGCAAATCATTGCATTCCGTTATTATTTACATTTCACACAGTGTCCCACTGTTTTGGAGCTGAGGTTGAGGAATAGATTACTTCCTTATTGAGAAAACCCTTAATTTCTTTATCACAACAGGTGAATGTTTAACTGCACTCGAATTGGATCATCATTCATATGATGCACTGAGGAAAAGAGAAAATAAAAAGCAATACAGGCAAACACTTGTCAGATAATCCATTAATGGATTTACTGCATTTACTTCAAGTTCTGGTATTAGTATGATTAATTTACCTTTCCTTTAAATGTATCATCACGTTTATGCATAAAACAAAACATTTCAAACCCTTTAATAAATAATTGTGACTGCAGTCTTTCTTTACTCAGAAATACAGAAATGGATGCCAAAAACAGGGAAACAGAAAATTCTAAAACAGGGTAACCAGAGTTCATCATGAAGATAAGTACGTGTGATTTGATATAAAAGCAGCCTTTATAAAAATAAATACATCACCCGTGAGTTTATACTGTGTCCTTAATTCACATTCAGGCAGCTTCTCACATTCATCACCTGCACCTATCTGACAAGATAAACATGTCTCTGCCACGTCTTCACTAACAGCAGATGTTTGCCGTTGTCGGGAAGTACGTTTGGCCAGCCGAGCTGCTTGACAAGTACAACCTGTCATCACCAAAGTTGCTCTGGTGGAGAACAGCCATCTTGCATGTCATCATAACTCCCCTTCTCTCCAGTTCCTCCTCCAATCGTTTCCTTTTCACTCTCTCTAGGATCCTTCACGATATCTTGTCTCTACTGTGCCTCTGGAGCTGTTTTGTTAAATAATGCATGATTACTCCCATCAGTGCCATAACACGCAATCTTTAATTGATGCTGGAAGACCCTGAGCCCGCTGGTTCTCCACACTAGGAGCCAAAGCAGTGCAATCTTTAAGAAGTTGTGCGCATAAGTCTTCAATTGCAGGGCATCTTCCTATAGCCCTAATCCGGCCAATTACTCTAGCAATTATCTTTGTGCAGTTCACCGTGACCTTATAGGACTGGCTCTGAATCCATCAGTTGTTGGAAAAAATGAAAAACAGAAGAACTCCTGGACTAAAACCAGCTGCTGTCCCTTGTGCTTACAGATGATGAAAACTGTATTTAATCCTACTGTATCTTCTGTCTGTTGTAATTCAAAATATTCCACATTTTCATATGCCAATTTACTTGTTTCATGCATGAGACAGACTAAATGGAAGAAATCTCAACTATTTCCCACACTTCTGTTCGTCAAAGAATGAACCACAAGATCAGGGAAAGACTACAATCCTGGAGTAGGAGGCCAACGGTAGCCTAATAGTTAGTGCCTGGCAAAAAAAAAAAAAAAAAAACATTCTCAGTGCCAACCGGATACCCATTTGCTTCAGTTTAGCTGCATGCTCACATCTTGTCCTCATTAAACCAGTTTTTGGTGCCAATTATGGCTGACAAACTACTGGTCCCGGTGTAGAAACCCTTACTGTGTAGATGATTAGCTGCCTGATCAGCCATGGATCCATCCTCATTAATAACAATGTGTGATTCTTTATGAGATATTATCAGCTAGAAGAAAATAATAACAAAATACTCCAGAGAAAGAAAGGTAAAAAGAAAAGTGAATGTAGCCCTCCACTAGCAGCTGAGCATGGACCTGGATAAACAGCTGTATTTTCTGCAAGACACTGTCACGCAATCACTCAGGCCACCGACTAAACACTCAATCATTCAAGAACTTAGAGGGCCCTGGGAAGAGCATGTGGGAAGAGTAAACGAGAAGAAGCACGCAAAGTACTAGGAGCTGTTGGAGAAGTGCCAGGACAGAGGCTGGAAGATGCTCTGTGAGCCCAAAGAGGTTAGCTGTGGAGGTTTTGCAGGATGTTCACTCTTCAAAGTGCAAGCAACTGGGCGCTACAGGAGACGGAAGACAGAGAGCCAACCCCATTTGTGGCATCTGGGTGAGGAGGTCTGATGCTAAAAGATCCAAAACACCTCATGACCCCAAGAACCTCACTGAAGATGTATCAGGGAGAAACTGTAAGCACACTGTGGATGCATGTGCTTCTTAATGCAAACCTCACAGATCACGCTGGCATAAATAAATTAATATGCAGTAATCAAATTGTTTGAGGAAGAGCACTCATTTTGATTAATTCACTTAATAACAACTAAATCAATAACACCAACCTAACGGTAACTGATCTGGCAAAAACATCATTATGGTTTAATCTATTTCTTCAGTTATAACTGCTTTGTCTGCTTTAAGAGTGTATATGGCTGTATAACTGTGGAATACATACTTAGTGCACTAGAAATAAACTGCATAAAAATTGCTGTCCTGATTGCACGCTGATGATGCTCCCCAGTGCACTGCAGAATGCAATTATAATCTTAATGCACCTATTCTGACAAAGACTTGAAGAGGAAAAAGAAACTCATCAGTGGGGGCATTGAGTTTACAATGAACTATTACAATGCAATGAAATCACCTGTCCTTGGATGCTCTGAGTGGAAGTAAACCATTCAAGCGTGTAGTTACTGAAACACATTAGGTAATAGGTACATTAAAATTTAAGTAGCTGAACAAACCACAAGAAATTCTGTGTGGTCTTGGCTGTGGACGAGCAATCTGTGGTAGGTACAAGTGTTTAACTGGTGACTGGTCTTTAGAAAAAGCCTTCCCTAGCACTATAAGCATAACGTAAACCCCATGAAGTCATTAAATCATAAACTCTGAAGTGCCAGTTTACATGGCATTTATCAGCCAGCTAAGCGCAACGAAAGGTCAGCAGCAGAGACGCTAAAGAGAAACAAGGGAACATGAAGTATGCAAATCCCCTACGTCAAGGCAGTGTTTTACAAGCTATGGCTAAAACCACATAAACAGGCTCTGGGATGAGCTTCTTCCTCTTTCTTTGATAAACAGTGTGCCTAATAGCTGGGATAAGTAGCTCATCTGATGACATCTCTCTTCACACACTTGATTGATTTTTGAGACCCTCCCTTCTGACTAAACGCACTACACACACATGCACACAAACAAACCCACTATCTCTCTCGACCATCAACAGACCTCACAGAATCAGCCCCCCTCCCTTTGGAGCCTCAATTCTACCCAAGCCACAACCACCAACTTCCTTAAGGATAATCCTCTGGGGAGGACAGAACTTTGAATTCCAATAAAGAAATTAACTGCCTCCCTCATTTTGGCAGCAATTTTAATTTCCCTTCAGGCCTGTGGATTCGGGATTGTGGAAACGGTGAAGAGAGGTGGTTGCAGGGAAAATGCTTGATTCAGGGAATCATGGTGAACCACTCAGAGATGAAAATTTGAAGCGATGTTGGGGAAATGCTTCCAGGGTTGATTGCAAAAACAAAGAGAATTTTGCAAAATTCTGTTTCCAATATGCAGAAAAGCAAAAAACTAGTTTACCCACGGCAGTAACGCACATGTAATCAGATGTTTTCAGAACCACACCAGCTTTCAGGAGCTAAGTATGTTGATTTAACTGAAATTACAAAAGATATATATATATATATATATATATATATATATATATATATATATATATACACATATACACACACATACAGTCAAAAACCAATAACTGAATAATCACACCGAAATTATGGTCATAGTTTCACTGTAAAGGGATTTTATGTCAAGGCATAGTACTAAAGGTTTGCCTGATGCAACACCCCCACTCAGCGGCCTTTCAGAGTATCACAACGGTGTAAATGAACCATTAGCCGGTTTGTCTGTTATATGACACGCTGGACCTGCATCTTTTATAGTTTTATCTTACGTTTATCTCACACTGTAAAAACAAACAAACAAAAAACCTCTTCACCATTTACACACACATACGATTAAAAGAAATACTAATCTTCATAGCAGAAAGTTATCATAGCCTCTTGCTTCGTGACAAAAATGTCCTAAGACAACAAATTTGCATTATTTATTACTTGATAATAAATAGTCTGGCAAATAAAAATAACAGGTTGCAGCTTACAATGCGTTACTTACAAGCATGGTTATCTTAACACGGCTATTTTTAAAACAATGACTAAAGCTAGCTTTAAGTGCTAGTTTACACACCTCTTTCGTTGTAGCAGTGCTTTCAACTCCAAGTAAACCGTACAGATCCATCTGTAGGATATCTTTAGCCTTTCCGGACATTTCTGCCAAAACGCGCTACAGTACCAATACACAAAAATAATAAATATACCACTATTTAAAACAGCTGTTTTGCTAGCTATTTAGCTTCGTGTTGTGGTTCCAGGCAGCATGAGTATGACGTCCTCAACCTTTCAACCAGGATGTGCATTGCAAACTGGGTATTGTAGTTTTTGGGTCTCCTTGCTCTTCTCTAGGTTCCTGAAAAGCTCCCTCACGGAATTTTTATTATTTTTACTGTAGCGTTTATTATTTTTATATCCGATAAATTTTTTCCACAAGTATTAATCTTCTAAAATCTTTTGACCCATCTGTGGGCTCTTTAAGGGCTGTTCACGCGTGACAAATCCCACATCCAAAGCTTCACTGCATAGATGGCTATTTTTATCTTGCTGTCAGGTGTGAAATTAGTTATTTAGAACAATATCCTGCCTGGCATTAAAGGCCCACTGTGTATTTAACCACAAGACATAAACGGTATTTAACATTTTAAATTATTTATTTTGTTTAAGTAAAAGAGACTTCCTGTGCCATACTTATGTGCCTGTTTTCTATCAGCATATTGTTCACATTAGCCTCATTTTACTATATTTTTTGATATTGCTAATGATGATGTTCGGGGATTAAAAGCCACATGTAGGCTCCTTGTTTAAATAAAATACTGGATTTCATTAATTTTGCGCGCACACGTCCTTCCCAAGGCACCCTAATAACATTGTTTCGACATTTAAATTTGGATATAAAACTTATCCAAGCCCATCAAGATCAACGAGACCACAGCGTCTTCTGGTGGACGAATTATGTAACAGCAGGCAGCACAGTACAGTACATATTAACACGTTTACCTATGTTTGATTAAGTTTAGTCCACCAAGAAAAAGCCGTGTTTATATCGATTTGAGGACCCAGGCTCCACCTTTATTTCCATTTAGATTCATTGTGTGGCCCACTAAACTGTCATTTTAGCCCATTAAACTTGCTCCATCTTGTCTCCGATGCAAAATGTAAACAGACACCTCAGTGCTACATGTGGTTTTTTTCCTGTGGATATAAATCCATCTGTGGCCTAATGGCATAGGTTTTACATATCTGTTAACCAAGATGTGGTCTGAGGCTGCACCACTTCCTGTAGGGAACTTCCCCTGACATGTACAAAAACAGCTTTCTTTTTCTTAAATTTTTGTGGGGGAATTTTTCGATGATGAAAAAGCCACCTGTTACTTACAGACGGTTTAGAAATATTGTGACGACTCTGTCCCTTCAGATTGTGTAAAAAGGCAGGCTTCTTTCAGTTTAAAATGTCTTTGCAAAGCACAACTTTTTTTGTCCTTCAGGCACACTGAGGATAAACAGGACTGAAAAAGAAGTCATAAGATGTGGCCCAAGTATAAAAGGTTATCCAACAGGACTAGTGCAACAATGTTTCTCAAAGAGTTAACCCCAAGGCAGTGATTTCTAAACCATAAACTAATACAGTCATGGCAAAAATAAAGTACACTCTATTTCAATTCTAAGGTTTTACGTATCAGGACATAATTTATAAAAATCTGTTTATTACTGGGTCTTAAAATTGTTTAAGTACAACCTTAGAAGAACAACAACACATGACTTTATTACATTATTTATCTGACAAAAAATAAACCAAAATGCAGAAGCAATATATGAAAAAATGAGGAATGTATTTGCACACCTTGACTATTTTCTTTTATATATATTCTGTTGTAGATTTACTGTGTCCTTATGATAAATGACCCAATTTGAGCCAAGGTTTAGCTGTCAAACAGATCCTCACATATTCGACTCCAGAATACTTTGGTATACAGAGGAGTTCATGGTCGTCTCAGTGACTGCAAGGTGTCCAAGTCCTGTGGCTGTAGAACAAGCCCAAATCATCGTCCCTCCACCACCGTGCTTCACAGTTTGTAAGAGGGGTTTGTGCCGATCGATGTGTTTGCTTTTCACTGTGCATCTCCACTTTGTTCTCACCTGTCAAAGCACCATTCCAGAAGTCTTGTGGTTTGTCCAGATGCAACTTTGCAAACCTGAGCCACGTGCCTTATTTTTAGAGAGAAGAAACTTTTCCAAACAAGCCATACATGTCTAGCCTTTTTCTAATTGTACGGTCATGAACTTTAACCTTTAACATGCTAACTGAGGACTGTAGAGTCTGAGATGTAAGTTTGGGGGTTTTTGCAGTTTCTCTGAGCATTGCACAGTCTGACCTTGGGGTGAATTTACTGTGACGTCCACGCTTTGGACGTTTGGCATCTGTCTCGAACGTTTTCCACTTAAGTGAGATGCTCACACT